CTAAATTAGGGACGGCTAGCGCATATAGCCCTCGTGTAGCTTTGCGCGAAATTCCAAAACAAACAAACAAAATGTTTGTACGTTTTGGGCAGGTTCTATATGAAAAGGCTTCTGTTTTTTTTTTATATAACCTATGACATTGCCCAACACTTTGTGCCTTTACAATTTTTCTAACACACGTGAGCCAGACCTTCCCTTGTGGCTAAGGTGTTCACATGTGAGTCAAACGTTTTCTTGTGTTCAGAGTTTAATCTGGAGTTTCGTGGTTGCCGCAAAAACGTACTCCGCACTGTAGGGTCATGGATGCGTCATAACAGTGATGTAAACCCCACTGTCCAGACAGACAAGAGTAACCCAAAAGTTGGCGGTGGGTGCTGCTAACTAGCTGCTTTTCCTTTCTTTTACTAGCTCATAATTAGAGGCGGTTATGCATAAATAGCCCTTTGTGTACAAAATCCTGACATTTATATACGCTTCTTACGAAGGTTCTTTTCTCGACATTGTTTTTTATACATTCTTCTTGTAACAACTTATTCATCATAAGTTCCATGTTGTCAAACATGAAAATATCCAACATGTTTACACGAGACAAATTATGTTGTTATTCTTACTAAACATTTACCAATATTTTAAAATTCATGTTAGTGATTACAATTGTCGTCGTCTTACCATAACGTTTACGTTAAGAAACACTTCTTTTGTTAATTCTTGATAACAATCAGGTTAACGATGTCAGAAAAAAAAGACAAACAACGTATGTAAATTTAAACTCAATGCTACTTGTTTTGCTGAAATACATTCCTTTTGGTCAGTGTTAGTAATTAGCGAAATTAAAAACTCTCTTCTCAAACTTGTAATATCTTACAACGGTATTTAATTCTTCCAAGCCTTATGGTTGTTACTTTAGATATTTCTCATTATTTTAGCTTTTTTATTTGTTCTCCATTTTGTAAGATTATCTTGGGGTAACATCTAATCGACTGGTAAAATAATCATTACACTGTTTTTGTACTTTTTGTTAATCCCTCAAATTACTGACTTGTTTACATATCCCTATCTCACCATTGTGCACCTTATTGTTTTATATTTTTGTCTATTAAACATTCGGTAAGAGAAGTGACAAAACAAAATGGTGGGCTCACTCATTTTCTATACAAAATACATAGGAAAGCATAGAAGTAATTAGTGGGATTAACTACAATATATTTATTATTTTTGGTCACATTTACTTTGTGTGGCTCAATGTTTTTAGAAACCTGTTATCATAAAGCAGTTTATAGCATAAGCATTTATAAAAATGTGTTTAAAAATTCGATTCCCCTGATGGGAAAGTGGCAAGCTTATGAAGTTACAGCGCTAAAATCCAGGGTTTGATTCCCCGTAGTCGACACACCAGATAGCCCAATGTGGATTTGCTCTAAAACAAACAATTCAAAATTGTTATATTGGAAAAACAAACATACAACTTTCTATTAGTTTGCATGAACATGTTTGAATACATGTCTAGGAACAATCATTCTTCTGATCCTTCTCAAATAAAAATCCTCAACAGAGAGGGCAACATTAATAAATGAAAAATAAAAGAAACCCTATTAATAAAAAATATCCATATTCTTAACAAATACAAAGATGTTCATTTATATTTATATTAATTATTGCCTTCTGTCTTATATATAGAACACATTTCAGTACTTAGACTCACGCCTAGAAGTTTTATTTTTAATATACCTAAATTGTTTGTTTGTTTGTTTTGGAATTTGTAGCCCAAGAGTTGGCGGTGGGTGGTGATGACTAGCTGCCTTCCCTCTAGTCTTACACTGCTAAATTAGGGACGGCTAGCGCAGATAGCACTCGTGTAGCTTTGCGCGCGGAATGGCTGTGGCTTTAACTGACAAACATTCTAATCGTCTTGTGATTTTGTTTATTTGTAAGATCTAACAAACAATATACGACAGGAAAATAATTATGTTACGATCAGGTTTTTTATATTCGTAAATTCAAACGTTAGTGCTAAAAGGAGATTCTTTTGTTCTGTAACTCTATCAGAAACAGAAAAGTATATATTTTTCATATTATTCAATTCTATTGTTAATGTAGATAAATAAATTTCGTGCATTAGTTGATGTTGCTATTAGCACGGATAGGTTAAAGTGGTTATTTTATTTTTACTTTTTTTTTGCACAAACTTTGAGAAGAAGCTTGTAGTTACCTTCGCTACTGAAGGTGACTTAGGTTATGTTTTCACCCCTGTGTATGTGTGTGTTTTTCAACAGGATTTCTCAAAAACGGCTGAATGTATTTAGACAAAAGTTGGTAAACATTTAGACTATGATCCAATTTAGAAGTGATTAGTTTTTGGAGGGTCAAGATCAAAGGTAAAGGTCACAGCAAGGTCAGGAAAATCTAAAAAATCCCTATCTGTTAACATGGGGCCAATTTTCCACATTAATTTTACTCTATAACTCAGTCAAAAATGATCGGACTTTGATAAAACTTGGTGGACTTATGTAGAATATTATTCTTCATTGTCCTACCAAAATTGTCAGTTGAAAAACAACAGACATACTGACACATATTCGTATTTTTTTAGGGACGAATATGATCAATGCTGCGCGGTGGAGGTATACGTTCTCCTGAGTGCCCCTCTAGTCAGATAAAAACATTTAGAGTTTGAGTTACTAACGTATTCATGCAGACAACTTAAAATCTAATCTCTCCACACTATATTTTAGGAATAATGTTAGGGGAAAAACTATCTTTGCTCTAGAGAAAGTAATAATAAAACTTTTATATTTCAAGCAACGTTTTGCCATTGCGACATCATCAGAGCTAGTGGTTCTTATACTTGAAGTCCTGTGAAGCCGCTAAGGCGAAACGTTGGCTGAAATAAAAAAGT